AACCCACTGAGTTCTACTCAAGTATTAATGCAGTTGCTGCATGCCAAGGGCCAAGGCATCGAGGGCGAGGCCCTAGCAACACGTGTGGAGGCACGTAATCCACTAATTACAGCTCACGTTTCGAAGCAGTTGCTGCGTACCAAGAGTGGTATGGTCAGACGAAGTCCGAGGCATCTTGAACAAGGCCTTTCTGATGCGCGTGGAGTGGCACGTTATCCACTGGACGAAGAATGCGGAAATAGATGCTCTTCGTCAAATGCCATGCGCTTCTCGGTAGTAGCCCGGGAAGTCGAAGGGCCATGAGCTGAGCTCAAACTATGGTCCTGAGCTGACGAGTCGCAGACGAACCAGTATGCAAAACCCCAGAGCTCACGCGGGCGTGATGAATTAATCCATACATCGCAGGGCGGCAATACAAAGGAAGTCGGCGTTGCGTCTTGACTCTGGCAAGCTCAAATCTAAGATGGCGTTCTACGTTCATTTCTTGGTGGTTCCGCTGTAAATTAAACAACGAGGCTCCGGTACCGCTGCACCCGTTGCTCAGATAGCACCTCATCATCTGCAGCGGTTTTGCCAGGGGTGAGCACCACAGGAATAGTCCGCATTGCGGGTACAGGAGCGCCTCCTCTTTGAGCGCAAAGTTGAGCACGGAACCGATCCATTGGGATTTTATGAGGTGCCAAGAAGCGAGCTCGGAGAGCTTTTCGCTGGTGAAGCTCAGCTTGTGTTGTGGCCGGGGGCCCTACTACGTAGACGCCTATCGATCAAGTGATCGCGTCTTTCGCTTCGGTAGCGGGATCCGCCGAGCGGAAGCCGTACTTCACACAAGGTTCTAGGACAAAACGTAGATAAGGGAGCATGGGAGCCGCCCTATGGACAGCCTCCAACTGCTGCTCTGTGCCTCGTCGAGGCGATTGGTAATAATACCACTATCCCCGGAAGTCGAGAGGTCGAAAAATGGTGTCCGCAAGGTTTGAGCTGGATTCACGTCGCGCCGTTGGTGCACCTCGCCCTCCTCATCTTCTCATCCTGGGAAAGTAGTATCCGACTCGTGGTCGACTTTCTTCGAATGCTCGAGGAGAAAATTCGTCGCCCGTGGCGCCCGGTTGCCGGGGGCATGGGATGTCTTCCCGTGAAGCCGCGAACGTACTATCCGGAGGATCACCGCGTGCGTGAGACGAAGAAGGGATCTGCCCGCGGGGTCGGCCTCGAAATAAGCGAGGCTGATGTTTTCCGTGTCATAGACACAAGGCTCATTGAACAGAGAATGTGTAAAGATGGTTCTAGGGACGTAATGGTGACTCAGACACGCGAGCCTCGTACGAGGCGACATTAAAATGTGAATTGTGTGCATTCACAATTTTGATGGGGGAGAGTGTGAAGGGGTTACACGTACCCTGGTATACAGGGGTGGGTCACACAAGATGGTGTAACCGTACAAAGGTGTGGATTACACAAGACGGTTGAATCACATAGTGGTGTAGCTACACCATAACAAGAAGCCACTACGTGGCTGGACTGCTAGTAGTTATGCATATTGATTATATTTTACGTTTTTATTAGGAGAACCTAAGGATTTAGATATAGGAAGCTCTGCCGCAAATAAAACAGAAAAATACAGTTTAATTTTAAGCGGAAGAGTGTGATCTGCCTTGGTTAAGATTTCTGGGTAGTCTTGAAGATAGCGTATTGCGATCCGCTACATTCTGGTATAAGTCAGTGGTGACCTTAGTCAGCTTCCTCTACGCAAAGAGCTACGGCAGCCTCGCTGCATCAGGGACTTGCCCTCCCTCACCAAACCAGCAGCTTGCTTTCGAGCAAAAAACTCATCGATATAGTCACTTTACTCACGCGACAGTGGCCACTGTCGGCTCACTGCATGCTTTGAGCCAGGTTCACGAACAATTTCATGTCGAGCTCCATATAAGGATCAGTTTGATCCATCAAATAGCGTATCCTCTGCACACTGTAGAAATTTTCCGAGAACTGAATCATTTGTAGCTGATGATGAGCGTAATTCCGCTGAATTGACCTTCTAGTGTAGACATACAACCTCCGCAACAGTACGCTGGACCAACTCATCCGCGGACTCAACCACATCCAGACCGATGTATCGGTTTCGCGATCAACAATTCCGTTGATTCCCTCACATATGTGTGCTCAACCACACAACGGGTGGGAGAATCACTTTTGTGGTCAGTTATACCCATTGACCCACCTTTAAATTTCTACGTTTTTCTGGTATCTAATACTGCAAAACATACTTAACATCTAATCCCATTTTTATGTACCAAGCTATTATAATAAATAACGAGTTACATAATTTGCAGCGTTAATTCATATCTAATAAGAACTAGCTTTTATTTTTAGTACATTTGATTTATTGACTTAA